ATACTCTCATCACTTTACTCTTTTCTATGTTCAATTTCAACTTTCTACCTTTACACACATTCCCAAATTCAACCACTAACCTTTGCAATTTTTCTTTAGAATCTCCCAATAGCACAGTATCATCAGCAAAAGTAACTGTGTCACTTCCCATTTTGTATTTAATTCCCCATAATTTAATCCCACCCTTCTCTCGAACACCCTAGCATTAACTACTTTAGCAACCCCATCTATAAATATATTAAACAATCATGGTGACATTACACATCTCTGTGTAAGACCTACTTTTACCGGGAAGTAGTCTCCCTCTCCTACACACCCTAACCTGAGCCTCACTATCCTCATAAAAACTCTTTACAGCATTTAGTAACTTACCACCTATTCCATACACTTGCAACACCTGCCAAATTGCTCTCCAATCCAATCATATGCCTTTTCTAAATCCATAAATGTAATAAAAACTTCCCTACCTTTATCTAGATACTGTTCACATATATGCTTCAATGTAAATACCTGATCTACACATCCCCTACCCACTCGAAAACCTCCTTGCTCATCTGCAATCCTACATTCTGTCTTACCTCTAATTCTTTCAGTTATAACCCTGCCATGCACTTTTCATGGTATGCTCAGTAAATATATTCCTCTATAATTTTTACAATGTCTTTATTAACGTAAAATAAAAGTTAATGTGCCCAAGATTATTATTAGTATTACGTAATGTTTTCCCTCCGCCCGGCAACCACACCTCCATAGCACATAAATATAGCATGTTTAGTTGCTATATGATGTGTTTCTTCTATAATTTTGAAGAAAATATCATAGATGGGTTAATGAAAATGTCTATATTGACATAAAACTAGACATTTAATGTACCCAAGAGTGATTATTGTTATGTACTACTAGCAAAGTAAAATGAGGTTAAATTTGCATTTTTTTTTTTAATAAACCGGCTGTATCCCACCAAGGCAGGGTGGCCCAAAAAGAAAAATAAGAGATTTTCTTTTTAGATTTAGTAATTTGTACAGAAGGGGTTACTAGCCCCTTGCTCCCGGCATTTTAGTCGTCTCTTACAACACTGATGGATTACGGAGGAAGAATTCTGTTCCACTTCTCCATGGAGATGAAAGAAAAACAAGAACAAGGACTAGAAAGAAAATAGAAGAAAACCCAGAGGGATGTGTATGTATATGCTTGTACATATGTGTGTAGTGTGACCTAAGTGTAAGAAAAAGTAGCAAGACATACCTGAAATCTTGCGTGTTTATGAGAGAGAAAAAGACACCAATAATCCTACCATCATGTAAAACAATACAGGTTTCCGTTTTGCACTCATTTGGCAGGACGGTAGTACCTCCCTGGGCGGTTGCTGTCTACCACCCTACTGCCTACATAAATTTGTATTTCTTTCATCTATTCTTTTGTATTTATGTATGTATTTTAGTATTAACCCTTTCAGGGCCGAGAGGCCCTCTCCTAAATGTGTTCTCAGGGTCGAAAATTTTTTGGAAAACAAAAATTATTTTTTCTTATGAAAAGATAGAGAATATTTTCCCGATCATAATGACACCAAAAGTATGAAATTTGATGGAAAAAGTACGGAATTATGCTCTCGCGAAGTTAGCGGTCTCGATGTTTATGCATCAGCGATTTTGCCCACTTTGAGCCCTATTTTCGGCAAATTCCAGTGTACTAGTCCACAAAAATCATAACTATTTCGCTAGAATCCATTTTTTCCATCGAAGGAGTACAAGAAACAACCCATTTACCGATTTCAACTATCCAGTAAAGTGGTCAGAAATTGACAATTTTTCCAATTTCACACAAGTTTCAAAAGATGCCAGTTTCCAAATAGGGTCCAGAATAAACAAGATAGACATTCCTGGCACTAAAATAACATTTTTTCTGTTCATTAGTCATGTCCCCAGGCCTCTCTTACATTTCTTTTGCTTTCCACTCTGAATTTTTATTCTCACAAAAAATAGAAGATTTACTGTTATGCAGACTACTGCATTAGTTTAGAAATGGTACAAATAATATCAGTGCACTTGTGAAAGAATATTAGACTCACCAGTTGACGTGTATTGGACGCATGGCATGATTTGTTTACTTTTGAACTTTGGCAAAAATCAAACATTTCTGCTACTTTGAGCTCAATTTCAAGGTACTCTTCATTGTGAAACCAATCAAAATCGTCTCAGTTTTTGTAATATGTCTTCCATTCTATAAAATGAGACCAGGAAGACTAGAATACAACCATAAATACCATATGAAAATACTGCAGAATCGATGTTTAAAACCAAAAACATCGTCAAAGTTTTTTTTTTTCTCATTACTCACTGTGTGTTGCAGGATTTTTTTTATACTGCGCACACTGACCACATAGACCCATTGTTTCATATGTAGGCCTGCCAGCTTTCTCTTGCTAGATTTGAAGGCGCTAGGATTTAGGCATACTATTACGTCAATAACCCTGGTGCATAAGCTGTACTAGTACGTCGGAAACCCTGAAAGGGTTAAGCGGTGTTTAAATTACATATTTTAGTATTAAGCAGTGTTTAAATTATTTTATGCAACCCCATCAATGTATAATATGCCAATTACAATAGGATTTTTTTTTTTTCATGGAAATGGATTAATCATTTTCCCTATACAGTGGACCCTCGGGTAACGATATTAATCCGTTCCTGAGAGTTCATCGTTAGACGAAATTATCGTTAGCCGAATTAATTTTCCCCATAAGAAATGATGGAAATCCAATTAATCTGTTCCATAACTAAATAAATAAATGTTAAAATGACCCTTACCTTTATTGAAGAGTATTGATGAATGATGAGACTGTTTTTCTTGATAACACTGGGATTTTCAGAGTGATATATGAGTAAAGGCTTCACTTTGCAATCTCCACTAGCATTACAACAAAACAAGAAAGTTAGCCTGTCTTTCATAGGATTGTGTCCTGGGAGTACCTTTTCCTCCTGAGTAATGTAGGTCCTGTTTGGCATTTTCTTCCAGACCAGGCCTGTTTTGTCACAATTGAACACTTGTTGGGGTTGGAATTTTTCAGCTTCACCATGCCTTATCACACTGTATGCCACTACGATTTTTAAATCTCTCAAACTAACCTTTGCTGGCCTTAAATTCACCAATATGAGCCCTAGTTCCAGGCATTTTTTCCTGTTCACCTGGGTGTTCGTCGACTGGTGTAGGTCGCATCCTGGGGGACAAGATTAAGGACCCCAATGGAAATAAGTTACAGTCTTCGATGACTCACTGACTTTCTTGGGTTATCCTGGGTGGCTAACCCTCTGGGGTTAATTGTTTCTCGTTAAGCCACACCAACAACAGTTTCTCCTCATCTTCGAGTAGTACCGCTAACGGTGGTGCAGCAGCAGCTGACCCTGGTATGATAGTATTTCTCACCCTTTTTACCACAGGGTTGGCACTAAAACCTTTCTTTGGGCCCATGGTGGCTTATTTAGCAGTTACAAGCACTGTAAACAATGGAATAATACAAAATGTATTGAATGTATGTATGAAACCAGCCACCCTGGCTTGTAAACAATGATGGCAGGGCAGCTGAGGTGCTCAGGCTGGACGGACAGGTTCAGGACGAATCACGTTGGGTGAGTTTTTTATTGTTAGCCAGGCCAAAATTTTTTACGCTCAAACGCTTCGTTGGGTAGATTTAACGTTACGGGATGCGTTCATTAGCCGAGGGTCCACTGTATTACTTATGGGAAAATTCATTTGGTATACTTCCTGTTTAGAACAAGTCCAAGGTCTTGGAACAGATTAAGGATGTATACTGAGATACCACTGTATTCAGAGCGCTGGGTGAGAGAACGTAGATCTATGTTTGGACAGTTAACAGGTTAAAAATAGGTTGGGCAGATATTTTTGTTAGTGGGTTTGAAGTCAAGAAGGACGTGCCCAGTATGGGCCAGTAGGCTTGCTGCAGTGTTCCTCCCCCCCCCCCCCCCTCTTTTTTTTTTTTAACATTTCCTCAGTTTCCCACTGTTTCTCTCCTTTCTTATGTCTCTCATATTGGAAAATCAGATGTATGTAGAGAACAGAAAAATAGAGTGAATAAAACCATGTCAAGGCCATTGCTAAATGGAAAACTTCATAGGCCAGTTAACAAATATACATGTATTGACAAGGTGTGTGGATCACCCAGCCTTTTGTGGGAAATGGACAACATGTTTAAAAATGTGTAAAATTTAATTAGTGTTATTTTATTGGAATTTCCCTGTATTTTTTTCCCCATACTCTGAACTTAAATATTGTTGTCTTCATCCAGATTGTTTTGTTCTGACAAGAAGGAGCAGAGTGGGAAGAGTGGTAACATCCCTGCAGGAACTACAGTTGATGTAGGCATCACACACCCAACAGAATTTGATTTTTATCTGTGTTCACATCAAGGCATTCAGGTTGGTACATGCACTCGTGTGTGGTTTTTGTTTAGTGACTTTCATAAGTTTGATAAAAGAGAAAAAGTTAGCTTATGAGAGGTTTTTACAAAGCAGAAGTGTTATAAGAAGAACAGAGTATATGGAGAGTAAAAGAAAGGTAAAGAGAGTGGTGAGAGAGTGCAAAAGGAGAGCAGATGATAGAGTGGGAGAGGCACTGTCAAGAAATTTTAATGAAAATAAGAAAAAATTTTGGAGTGAGGTAAACAAGTTAAGAAAGCCTAGGGAACATATGGATTTGTCAGTTAAAAACAGAGTATGGGAGTTAGTAGATGGGGAGAGGGAGGTATTAGGTAGATGGCGAGAATATTTTGAGGAACTTTTAAATGTTGAGGAAGAAAGGGAGGCAGTAATTTCATGCACTGATCAGGGAGGTATACCATCTTTTAGGAGTGAAGAAGAGCATAATGTAAGTGTGGGGGAGGCACAGGAGGCATTATGGAGAATGAAAGGGGGTAAAGCAGCTGGAACTGATGGGATCATGACAGAAATGTTAAAAGCAGGGGGGGATATAGTGTTGAAGTGGTTGGTACTTTTGTTTAATGTATGAAAGAGGGGAAGGTACCTAGCGATTGGCGGAGAGCATGTATAGTCCCTTTATATAAAGGGAAGGGGGACAAAAGAGATTGTAAAAATTATAGAGGAACAAGTTTATTGAGTATAACAGGAAAAGTGTACGGTAGGGTAATTATTGAAAGAATTAGAGGCAAGACAGAATGTAGGATTGCGGATGAGCAAGGATGTTTCAGAGTGGGTAGGGGATGTGTAGATCAAGTGTTTACATTGAAGCATGGTTTAGAAAGACAAGTAAGCAAACACTATGACATATTTATTAGAAAACGTTTTGGTCCTGGGACCTTGATCACTTCTAACATACAGAGGTAGAAAGGCATTATATATATAGGCGGAGAGTGAGGTGTGACGCACGTGACCTGAGGAATGTCATAAGAACATAAGAATGGAGGAACACTGTAGAAGGCCTACTGGCCCATGCAAGGCAGGTCCTTATCAAAACAACCTCTGCCTATGATGAAGAGGTAGACGTTGAAATCATGTGACTCCTGTGTTGTTGGGTTGGTGGTGCTTAAGTATCATGTATGCCAATGTTTTTGAAATTTTGTAGTTTCCAGTGTTGCGTTCTATAGTGTCGGTGACGGTGATTAGTGAGGCTTCTAGGCACCGTCGGCGTCTGAGGTCTGGTTCGGTGAGAACGAGTTGTGCCTCATTCCAGTTCATCAAATGTCCCGTGGAGTCTCTGTGGAGGACACAGGTGTACCTTACATCGTCTCTGTTAGAGGCATTTCGATGCTCATTCAAGCGGACTGCAAGATCTCTGCTTGTCTCGCCTGCATATTTCTTGGGACAGAACCCACAGGGGATAGTGTAGACGCCTGCTGTAGAAGTTAGAGGTGTGGGGCTGCGTTTCGTAGTGAGGTCTTTGATAGATGATGTGTTTATGGTGGAAACGTTGATGTTACTCATAGCAAGTGCCAGGCGAGTATTCGTGGCAACATCACCACATGGGAGTACTATGAACTGCTTAGGGGGCTGTTCCATGGGCGGTTTGTTGAGAATAGCTTGTGCCTTAAGTCTGCAATCTCGGATGAAGAAAGATGGGAACTGAAGACATGTAAAGGCTTGTGTTATGTAAGTGCATTCTTCTTCTAGAAAACAAGGGCTGGAGATGCGAAGAGCTCTCAAGAAGAAGCCAATGAGGACTCCTCTCTTAGTGCGGGTGTCTTGGTGTGAATAAAAGTGTATAAGATCGTCCTTGTTGGTAGGGCACTTGCTATGAGTAACATCAACGTTTCCACCATAAACACATCATCTATCAAAGACCTCACTACGAAACGCAGCCCCACACCTCTAACTTCTACAGCAGGCGTCTACACTATCCCCTGTGGGTTCTGTCCCAAGAAATATGTAGGCGAGACAAGCAGAGATCTTGCAGTCCACTTGAATGAGCATCGAAATGCCTCTAACAGAGACGATGTAAGGTACGCCTGTGTCCTCCACAGAGATTCCACGGGACATTTGATGAACTTGAATGAGGCACAACTCGTTCTCACCGAACCAGACCTCAGACGCCGACGGTGCCTAGGAGCCTCACTAATCGCCATCACCGACACTATAGAACGCAACACTGGAAACTACAAAATTTCAAAAACATTGGCATGCATGATACTTAAGCACCACCAACCCAACAACACAGGAGTCACATGATTTCAACGTCTACCTCTTCATCATAGGCAGAGGTTGTTTTGATAAGGACCTGCCTCGCATGGGCCAGTAGGCCTTCTACAGTGTTCCTCCATTCTTATGTTCTTATGACATTCCTCAGGTCATGTGCGTCACACCTCACTCTCCGCCTATATATATAATGCCTTTCTACCTCTGTATGTTAGAAGTGATCAAGGTCCCAGGACCGAAACGTTTTCTAATAAATATGTCATAGTGTTTGCTTATGTGTCTTTCTAAACCAACTTGTCGGTATTTATTACCAAGGTTTATACCACATTGAAGCATATATGTGAACAGTATTTAGATAGAGGTAGGGAAGTTTTTATTGCATTTTTGGATTTAGAAAAGGCATATGATAGTGGATAGGGGAGCAATGTGGCAGATTTTGCAAGTATATGGAATAGGTGGTAAGTTACTAAATGCTGTAAAGAGTTTTTATAAGGATAGTGAGGCTCAGGTTAGGGTGTGTAGAGGAGAGGGAGACTACTTCCCGGTAAAAGTAGGTCTTAGACAGGGATGTGTAATGTCACCATGGTTGTTTAATATATTTGTAGATGGGGTCGTAAAAGAAGTAAATGCTAGGGTGTTCGGGAGAAGGGTGGGATTAAATTATGGGAAATCAAATACAAAATGGGAATTGACAGTTACTTTTTGCTGATGATACTGTGCTTATGGGAGATTCTAATGAAAAATTGCAAAGGTTAGTGGATGAGTTTGGGAGTGTGTTTAAAGGTAGAAAGTTGAAAGTGAACATAGAAAAGAGTAAGGTGATGAGGGTATCAAATGATTTAGATAAAGAAAAATTGGATATCAAATTAGGGAGGAGGAGTATGGAAGAAGTGAATGTTTTCAGATACTTGGCAGTTGACATGTCGGCAGATGGATTTATGAAGGATGAGGTTAATCATAGAATTGATGTAGGAAAAAAGGTAAGTGGTGCGTTGAGGTATATGTGAAGACAAAAAACGTTATCTATGGAGGCAAAGAAGGGAATGTATAAAAGTATAGTAGTACCAACACTCTTATATGGGTGTGAAGCTTGGGTTGTGAATGCAGCAGCGAGGAGGAGGTCGGAGGCAGTGGAGATGTCCTGTCTAAGGGCAATGTGTGGTGTAAATATTATGCAGAAAATTCGGAGTGTGGAAATTAGGAGAAGGTGTGGAGTTAATAAAAGTATTAGTCAGAGGGCTGAAGAGGGGTTGTTGAGGTGGTTTGGTCATTTAGAGAGAATGGATCAAAGTAGAATGACATGGAGAGCATTTAAATCTGTAGGAGAAGGAAGGCGGGGTAGGGGTTGTCCTCGAAAAGGTTGGAAGGAAGGGGTAAGGGAGGTTTTGTGGGCGAGGGGCTTGGACTTCCAGCAGGCCTTCATGAGCGTGTTCGATAGGAGTGAATGGAGACGGATGGTATTTGGGACCTGACGATCTGTTGGAGTGTGAGCAGGGTAATATTTAGTGAAGGGATTCAGGGAAACCGGTTATTTTTATATAGCCGGACTTGAGTCCTGGAAATGGGAAGTACAATGCCTGCACTCTAAAGGAGGGGTTTTGGGATATTAGCAGTTTGGAGGGGTATGTTGTGTATCTTTATACGTATATGCTTCTAGACTGTTGTGTTTTGAGCACCTCTGCAAAAACAGTGATTGTGTGTGAGTGAGGTGAAAGTGTTGAATGATGATGAAAGTATTTTCTTTTTGGGGATTTTCTTTTTTTCTTTGGGTCACCCTGCCTCGGTGGGAGACGGCCGACTTGTTGAAAAAATAAAATGTTTATTAGAAATTTCCAATTTAATATTCCCATACTTCTCATGGAATAAACATTCCTCAGTTTTAAATATTATCATGCTATTAAACAGTTTCCCACCGAGGCAGGGTGACCCAAAAAGAAAGAAAACAAAAATAACATCATTCAACACTTTCACTATCACTGTCTTTGCAGAGGCGCTCAGATACGACAGTTTAGAAGTCCCTCCAAATTGCCAATATCCCAAACCCCTCCTTTAAAGTGCAGGCATTGTACTTCCCATTTCCAAGACTCAAATCTGGCTAACTGGTTTCACTGAATTCCTTCACAAAATATTCCCCTGCTCACACTCCAGCAGCTCGTCAGGTCCCAAAAACCATTCGTCTCCATTTGCTCCTATCTAACATGCTCACACACGCTTGCTGGAACTCCAAGCCCCTCACCCACAAAACTTCCTTTACTCCCTCCCTCCAACCTTCTTGGAGATGACCCCCTTCCCTGCCTTCCTTCCCCCTACAGATTTAAACACTCTTCAAGTCATTCTACTTTGTTTCATTCTCTCTAAATGACCAAACCATCTCAACAACCCCTCTTCAGCCCTCTTAACCCTTTTAGGGTCGGTCATGTACTTGTATGTTTTAACAGCTGGGGTTGGTCACGTAATTAAACGCGTACATTCTAGTACCTTCAAACCAAGTGGGAGAAAGCTGGTAGACCTACATGTGAGAGAATGGGTCTGCATGGTGAGTGTGTGCAGTAGGAAAAAAATCAAGGTACCTGCATTGCATTGTGGGAATGCCATTTCAGTACATCTTGTTTACCTTGCCTCTCAGTAAGAAACTCCTCACTCCCCAGCGAATTGGGACTCATATTTTCCCAAATGACAGTTCTAACACAGATGGAAGTGTTTTTGAAGAATTTCATGGTTTTAAGGAGTTTGTGCCTGAAAGCAATGCCCAGGAAACCAGAAGGAAGGAA